TACGAGTGGTAGCTCGAGGGGGTTAGAGGCTAGTGGGTGGTGTGATCAAAGTCACGAGAGTCTTGGAATTTGGATGGTGTGTTGAAATGTTAATTTACTGTTATTAAATTCTTGATGTTTTATTCTTTAATTATTGTGTTTAATGTCGCTGTGATTGTGAGCATGTTGTTTGGTGAATAGTTAGTGAGGGCTACTTACAGAGTATTTTATATACTCACCCTCCCTTCTACTTTAATTGTTTCAAGTGTAAACAGGACCCTCGACCATGGTGATGACATGGAGGAGGCTTGATCGAGGAGGGACTACTAGCTGCGTTTTGTCTAGGATAGCTGGACTGTAGTTTCATTGCTAGGAGCGTTAGAGACTTATTGTTAGTGGTGTACTAGCTATTGGTTGACTCACGGGACATTTTTCCTTATTTCGTTCTTTTTGGGCGAGTTGTTGTTTGTTTTGGTTATTCTTATTATTTGAACCATTGGTGTATTTTGGATTGCAGGACCGATTGACTGTTATTTTTTCTCTTATTGGATTACTAGCAACTGAGGCAAATATGATCCTAGGATTTGGTTGTGACAGAAACCCCACGGTTGTTCTTAAAATAAGTGCTTCTTCTCTTTTTGTTGGATAGGGCCTGAACAGGGTAGGTGATAGTGTTACCTCGATATTTCATGTCGAAATTTCGGGGACATTCCACTTTATGTTTTCTTTAATGGAAAAAGGGTGAATAGATAATATGGCAACGTTACCCCATTCTTCGTAGTGAAATTCGGGGGGCGTTACAGTTGGTATCAGAGCATATGCTCCCGCCTATTCATTGCAGTCTCTCTCTGGGTGCTTGATGATTCAATCTCTCCCTGGGTGCTTGATGATTCAATCTGTATATATAAAGATATAACATCTAGGATTTTTAAAAAAACAAACGAGACATATATAAACTATTGCATCTATACCCCTTCTTCACTGTCTAATGTGATTGTGCACGAATCTCTTGGATGTCCTGTTATTCCAGCAGCTTTTATCGTTCACTCCATCGACTTTTACCATATGTACAAATTCTATTTAGTTTTTAATTTATTTAAATATAGTAAGTTTTTTGGAGAGATATACTCTACAACACATTGGTCGGTCCCACGTTTACATTTTTTTAAATACACCTAAAATTTAGGAAGACAAAAAATATATTTTTAAAGTAGTTTTTCTATGAAAATCATAATAAAGATTTTACCTTCCTCGAACACCTGCAAGACAGTAGTTGGGCAGTCGATTGAAAACAGATTGGTGGGCAACGTCAGTCGGTTCTGTTCTATGTCGGGACGGCTAGATCTAGTTCGAACAGTCTGGCGCGGCGGCGGGACGGTCGAATCTTGGTTGGTATGGATGGTGCGGCGATAGAGGGTCAGATCAGTGTTCGGACGAACGGCCAGACGGAACGACGAGGCGGATTTTGGTTGGTACGAATTTTGGTTAGACGGAACAACGAGGCAGACGAATGGCGGGTCGGATCTATGTTGGTATGGATGGTGCAGCGACTGGACGGACTTAGATCTGGACGAAATGACGAGGCGGTGGAACCAGATCTGAACGCTAGGGGAATGGGCAGACTTTGGGACGGGATGGGTGATCTTGACCGGAATAGCGTGCGATAGAACAATGGGCTGGGCGATGTGCGACGGGACGATTCACAACGACATGCGACAGCGTGCGCAAAGTTTGACTTCGTGCGGCAACGGCATGAAATGAGACTACGGCAGCGGCATGGGATGAAGGTGAAGGATAGTTCTAGGTTGAAGATAAAGGGTTGTAGGTGAAGGCGGGTGAGATGAGTGGACCTAAACGGGGAATTGCCAAAACTAGGACAACTATAATAGGGTTAAAGAGATTGAGGATCATCTTTTCATTTAAAGAATTGTAGGATTTTTTAATGGTGAAAAGTCTTAACTACCCTTATTATAATTTTTTTTTCCTTTTTAAGTGTATAAACCCTCCCTCTCTCACGTGAAAACACGAAAAAGAAACCCTCCAACGTACGAAATCCTTCTTCTTCCTCAAACGACTATTCAGCTTCTCCCCTTCCAGCGACTAATCTCCTATTGATTCCGGTGACGATGACGAGCGAACTTTTCGACGATTGAGGCAGTGAAAGTAGGAAACACCCAACTGAACGAAATCCTTCAACGAAATCTCTTCCTTGCAGCACACGCAAACGACAAACGACGAACTCCGGTAAGATTTCAACACCCAACATTCAAATACTATTTTAGTTCTTCAGCTCTTCTTTCTTCGATCTTCTCTTTATTATTCTTTTTCGTCTAATCCTTTTGAAAGGAATCATTGTACGTAAAGAAATAACATACAAAGATCTATTAGGTAAATTATACCTCCTCACCGCAACTAATCCCGCAGAGTTCGTTATGAGAATCAAGTGCATATATGAGATTAAAGCTCAGACTCAAACTCCTCCATTTAAAATCAACAATGACAGTGATCTGAGGCTTTATCTGATGGGCGAAGATGTGGCTAAAGTCCCTCTGTACATCTCATTTCAACCTAGATGTAGAGGTTTAACGGAAGGAATCAATGAGAATAATAAAGGTGAAAAACTTTGTTACAAATCTATTTCTGAGAGCAATCAAGTTGAAGATTTAAATCCAAATGTATTGATACCAATGGATGCATTATATGATATTACAGTTCCATTTGGCTGGGTTGATGAGAGAAATGAGACCAGTAGATGGGAATCTTATGATTCACATGACGATAACCTTCCATTGAATTCTTTTGATGATCGAGATGGTAAGAATTACTTCAATTGGGAATCATACAATAACTCACAAGAAAGAAATGAAAATGTAGATTGGGAAGCTCTTATGGAGACTAAATGTGATTATGTTCCTAAAGTAGATCGTAAAGTCAACTATGAATCTAAATCAACAAGACAGAAGACATACATGGGAAAAACTGTTTCGTTGGAGGGAAGATCTACAAATGATGAATTTGAGGTTGGAAATTTATTTTTTAACAAGAGGGAGTTGTTTATGAAATTGAGTATTATGGCAATGAACAGAAATTTCGAATTCAGAGTAAAGAAGTCTACGAAACAGATATTTTATGTTACATGTACTGATAATAATTGTAAGTGGAGAATGCGAGCAGTCAGATTGGATGGTTCAGAAATATTCAAGATATCAAAGTATGTGAACTTTCATTCATGTTCACTTCATATTTTGAATCATGATCATAGACAAGCTAAAGCTTGGATAGTTGAAGAATTAATAAAATCTAAATATAGTGGAATTGGTCGCCAATGCAAGCCAAAAGAGATCATAGAAGACATGAGACAAGACTACGGGATCAATATGAGTTATGAAAAAGCATGGCGTGCGAGAGAATTTGCATATATGCGAGTAAGGGGATCACCTGTAGAGTCATATAATCTATCGCGTCGATATGGTGAAGCACTGAAGTTGGCCAATCCAGGTACATTTTATAAGGTTGAACTTGAAGATGGAAAAAACTTCAAATATCATTTTATGGCGCTAGGTCCATGTATTTGAGGATTTTTGAATTGCATACGACCTGTTATTGTTATCGATGGAACATATTTGACGTACAAATATCGAGGTACTTTGATAATTGCCACCTGCTTAGACGACAATAATCAAATTTATCTCATTGCTTTTGGAATTGTTGATAGAGAGACAGATAATTCCATAAAATGGTTTTTGGAAAAGCTAAAAGGAGCAATAGGTGAGTTTAAGGACCTAGTTTTTGTTTCAGATCGAAATAGTAGCATATCGAAGTCTATTGCTTCCGTGTTTCCCAATGCATTTCATTGTATTTGCATTCACCATTTGAAGCAGAATTTGAATGCTAAGTTCAAGAATGAAACAATTGAATATTTGTTTGTCAATGCTGCTAAAGCCTATCGAGAGTCAAAATTTAGGGAGTTTTGGTCGAGTATCACAACATTTGATAATGGCGTGGGTACATATTTGGAAGAAGTTGGACTTTCACGTTGGGCACGTACGCATTGCCCCAAAAGACGGTACAATATGATGACTACAAATATAGCAGAGTCCATGAATGCTCTACTAAAGGAAGCTAGAGAATTACCTGTTACTCCATTACTTGAACATGTGAGAGCTTTGTTACAAAGGTGGTTTTGGGAGCGTCGTGATGAAGCCTCAAAATTAACATCCACGTTGACGAAATGGGTAGAAGAAATTGTTTAAAAAAAACAAGATGAATCTGTTACAATGAAGGTACATCCGATTCATTGTTATCAATTTCAAGTGGCAGACATTGACAAAGAGGAGACAATAGACCTTAATACTCGAGAATACACTTGTAAGGTTTTTCAGTTAGACAAACTACCATGTGCACATGCAATGGTTGCAGTAAGGGAGCGGAATATAAAAATATATAGTTTATGTGATCATTACTATACTAATGAATGTTTGTTGGCTGCATATGCAGGGGCTATTTTTCCAGTTGGTAATGTCTCGGAGTGGAAGACACCATCAAACTATGTTGAAATAGAAGTCTTACCTCCAAAATTCGTGGCAAGGGTTGGTCGGCGCCAAACAAAAGAGAATCACATCTATAGGTGAAACCCCAAAAATGCATAGATGTGGCAGATGTGACCAAAGATGCCATAAAAGACTGACGTGTCGTAATCCCATTGCATACAAGGACAAATGAAGTGTATGGAATTAAACTAAATACTTTTTGTTTGTAATACAAGGACATATGTTGTTGTTATTGTTGTTAGATTGGTAATGCAATGCCAAGTTGTGGACATTTTAGATTTTGTTGTTTTTTTTGCTTGAAACAATATATAGCAACATTTTGCAAACTATTACAACTTACTTATTGCAAACAAAAATGCAAGTTCCAATTCATTTACAATCTGTTTTTCTTCTTGCAATATATTGCAATTACAACAAATTGCAATCCATTGCAATTTGTTGCAAACCAAACCAAAAAACAACCCATGAAAATGCAAGACACATCTCATTTTATAGCATGCTTGAGTTCAAAATGGTTTCAAATGAAGCAAATGAGTTAGAAAAAAACAATAGTACAGAAAAATAAAAAGCATCTATAAAATATCAAATATTTCTTGCATATATGTTTACATCAAATAGAATTAATATATAGGAGTATTCGTCCATAATTGGAAGGCTAGTTGTTTTCTAAAATAATTCATGTTCTCGTGATTTAGAGTTCCAAAATGAGCACCAGTTACAATGTATTTGAAAAACTTAATCATAAATACACCGCAGTCACTACCATTACGTTGAGCTATTGTTGAATCTACAATTACAACTTGCCAAGGCTATACATGTTCAGGTGACCCACCTCGTCTATCAAAGAATCCAATATGGTGCAAAATCAATGGCACTAATGTTCACACCGACTCTAGAAACAATGTCATCTCTTCTATTGTAGAATAGTTTGGGAGGGAATCTCACACCTTTATCTGACAACCAAACAAGTCAAAACATATTAACACCCAATGGTTGTTCTTCACGTTGAATGGTACATATACATAGTCGACATCAGCCCAAGCATCGTTGAAGTCGTCATTAGATCCGATAACATAATTGATCAATTTGTACTCAGCTTGCCAATTGAATGTAAGTTTATATTGACAACATTGTTGATATTGTTTCCACGTTACTCCGAGATAATACTGCAAATTAAAAAACATGTAATATAGATTTGCACTTACCATATTAAAAAAATGTTTGTGATTATGTACAAATTCAAATAAATGTAATATGGATGTGTACTTACCAAGAAGACGGTGTCCATTGTTGTAAAGTTTTGTGAACACAAATTTTCCATGGATTTTAACTTTAAACGAAGGAATAGGAAAGTAGAATCTAGATGCTATATTATAAAAACAAACCATAATAAAAAATGAATAACGAATATACCGAAAAAAAGAATACTTGAAAGTTAAAATTTTATTTTACCTCATCAGACAACCACTCTCGAGCCTTAATCAATTCTTTAAAAAAACTCTTTGGTTTCTTTCCAGTGATGGTGTCACACAAATGGTCATCTTACTTTTGTCATTTATCCATCCCCTAAGCCGTTCCAACTCGCTTGGTACTATTTTATGCATTGGATTGTATGAAATTTGAGTTTCTTTCAAACTTCGGTCTATTTTGTTAGTATCTATCTTCTTCTTCAAAGCTGTAAATGGATCTAAGGTCCAAGTACTAGCACGCCTCTTACGTGCACGACGAACGTTAGATCGTACAACGACAAAGGGTGCGATCTTAGTTACATCTAAATCTCCATGATACTGAACAAAAGATTGTACACATTTTTCCTCCTCGTTCCTAACCTTATCATGGTCCGCAATATAAGATTGTGGCACCTCGCTCTTAATCTTATCAGGATTCTCAATAGAAGGCTGTTGCACCTCACTCCTAACGTTATCATGTTTCTCAATAGAAGGTTGTTGCATCTCACTCCTAACCTTATCACGTTTCTCAATAGAAGGTTGTTGCACCTCATTCTTAACCTTATCATCATCTTCTGCAGGTATCCTCAACCAACTAGGTGTAGAAGAATCAGAGACATCCTTAAACAAACCCTTATCATCAGAAGTTTTAAGTTGTACAAATTTTTCATCATCGACCTATATCATAGCTATAAGTAATAAGTAAACATTAACAACATCTTATCTCTAAATGAATTAGGACTCTGTACCTGTTCTTCTCGTTTAAAGCTCTTTAAGATGCTTGCTAACATATGTTTCATCTCACATTGATTTTCCAATACGCTTCCTAATGTAAGTTTCACTTCAAGTAGGTCTTTCTCCATCCCCAAAACATGGGTCTTCAAGTCATCTTTCACATGTGGAATGTTATTTGAGTCTTCATGGGTGTCGCATCTTGTTTTTTGGAGATTAGTGTTTGATGGGATGTAACATTGGGACTTAGGAGACATGGTTTGGAAGGTGGTTGACCTCTAATTGCATGAATGGACAACTTTTCATCATCCGTCAACTCGAGGAATTCTCTAACTTCCATCTAAAAGATCAGAAAATATATAGTTAGGTAATATAACATAGTTATTATAGTAAACGCTTATGTTATAATTGTTGCATACCTTCTTTATATCGAACACTTCACTCTCTAAAAAATTAGCTAAGGGCGATTGTGAGCACGACCAACGAAGCATGCGAGGGATAACATTCTCATCTAATTTCTTTTCAACATAACCACTCATGGTCGATATAGACCCATACGCCCATACCTACAACACATGACACAAACATAATTTAAGTATGGAAGTTTATTATATACATAAAATTAGGTAAAATAATTAAAATAACTGTAGTGTCAGTGGAAACCTACTTATACAATATTTTTCCCGATTAGATGTTCGAGCATTTCTCAATGATTTCTTTAGCCCATTCAACATTTGACGTGCGTTCGTATATTATTGAGCCCCAGTCATAACTATCAAATGTAGACTAATCATCTACAATTGAAAGCGATTTAGTGTCGATTTTTGTTTTCTTATCCTTCCCCAACAAAGCCAACTCTATGAGGTATATCAGTGCCAGCTTCACCCTATCCTCATCATCACCCTTGAAATTCAAAAACTTATTTTCTATCTCATTTGCTGTAATAGACCCTTTATCATTAAAATATGTCTTTCGGAGTCTATGACTTAATTTGGTCCCACTTGAACAACTTCCACGACGCCATAACCCAGTTACCATATTGAACTCCTTCCTTGAAAAGGTACACACCACTCCTCCAACCATAAAGCTAATACAATCATTATTCTTCTGCTTCACCTCCCTCAATAACAAATAATGGATCAACTGCCCATTAAATATTATATCTACATCCAGAAATGATCCAAAATGTGTTCTTCTGAACATCTCAAGTTGAGTATGACTCAACTTATCCTTAATATTCTTGATTGTCGTCGCGAAGTGAGATAGACAACTTACTTGAGATCGAAAATGATCTAACGTCTTTATTATATACGAAGGGATTGATGACAATAACATATTGAGTACACAACTTTTAACACCTACAAAAATATCATGATTCACCATGTCATAATTAAGAATATTAACTCAAGAGAGATGATCATTTTACATTTTTTTTTTGTTTCTTGCAATATATTGCAATGCCAAAATCCAAGCAAGAACCTATAAAAATACAAAGTTCTAATAACTCAATACCATCTATATTTTATAAATAGCTTCAAACAAAGCAAATTGGTAAAAGGAAAACAATAGAATACTCAAGAGAGATGATCATTTTACATTTTGTTTTTGTTTGTTGCAATATATTGCAATACCAAAATCCAAGGAAGAAGATAAAATGCAAGTGTCAATTGATTCAATACCATAAATATTTTCTAAATATCTTCCAATAAAGCAAATTGGAAAACAAAGAGAATACCCAACAAATATGACCCTTTTACATTCTGTTTTTTTTTTCTTGCAACATATTGCAATGTCAAAATTCAAGCAAGAACATAAAATACAAGTGCGAATTGATTCAGTACCATCTATATCTGCTAAATAGCTTCAATTCAAATAAAACAAATTGGTAAAGAAAGACAAGAATATCTAGGAGAGATGATTATTTTACATTTAACTTTTTTTCTTGCAATATATTATAATATTTTCCAAACCAAAATCAAACAATCAACCAAAAAATTCAAGCTACGAAGAATAAAATAAAAGTTACGAAGATAAGAATGCTTAGAAGAATGAAAAAATTAAAATGAAAAACCAAGAAAGAGAAAGCTTGGTCGCCGGAAAAAATGGAAGCTTGTTGCCGAAAAAAATGGAAGTTTGGTCACCGGAAAAAATGGAAGCAAACTTACCGGAGTTCGTCGTCGTTGTTAGCACTCGCCGTTGTCGCCTCAATCCTCGGAAAAAATGGAAGCTTGGTCGTCGGAAGAAATGGAAGATTGGTGTGTGAGATAGGGTTCGTGTTCTTTTTGGTGTGAGAGGGAGTTTCAAAATCGAGGGTTTCATGTGGGGAAAATTGGGCGGAAAATGAGAAGAGGGGTAGTTACGACTTTTCACCCTTAAAAAATCCTACAATTCTTTAAATGAAAAAATGATCCTCAATCTCTTTAACCCTATTAGAGTTGTCCTAGTTTTGGCAATTTCCCGACCTAAACCCTAATTTTTTTAAATTCAAGTAAAGGTAAGAGTTAAATTTTCTATTTTATCTAGTAATAATTATATTTACCCTATCAAGATGGGTAAATTTCAAAATCTACCACAACACATCCTTCTCAATTTTTTCTAAAATCTACTTTCAAATTCTAATTAGTGATTTTAAATTAGATTTAAGATAATTATTTTGATTTCATTTATTTTTTATTAGATACAGTTGATTTCCTAACTTATTTTAGATGAGAAATTTCAAAATCTAGATCAACACATCCTTATCAATTTTTTCTTAAATCTACTCTCAAATTCTAATTAGAATTTTAAATTAGATTTAAGATAATTATTTTGATTTCATTTATTTTTTATTAGATACATTTGATTCCCTAACATTAAAGTCCATTGTTTTTGCTATTCGTTAAAAATACTAAATCCCTAAAATTATGCATATATACCTAATTGGTTACAGTGGTATATTTGTCTAAATATTTTCTCAATATTAAAAAAAAATTTATTTAGCTATTATTGCAATATCTCATAGATTTGACATTTTTTAAAACCTTTTATTAGTTTTGGTCATTCTTGGAGTTGCCTCCTTAGAAAATATATTTGAAATTTATGTTCAATTGGATTTGAGAAGTTTGATAGGTGGATCAGGTGATTCATGGAAGAGGCTATAGATCATAACTCTATTGTGTTTGTTGTCCACCACAATGTTTATTAAATTAAACTATTTAATTCATTAAGTAGGAGAATTTGTGGTACCGTTTGATAACCTTTTTGGTACCGTTTGATAACCATTTTGATTTTTGGTTTTTAGTTTTACTGTTTTTTGTTTTTTGTTTTCTGTTTTTAAAAAATAAAAATCATATAGGTTTGATAACTGTTTCTTGTTTTTAAAAAATAAAAAACAAAATATGTTTGATAACCATTTTTAGTTTTCTGTTTTTAAAAACTTAGAAAATTAGAAATATATATTAGAGAGAAATTTCTAGCTAGAGTAGATGACAATAGTGTGGGGCAGGAGTGAAGATGCACTCTCCAATTTTCGTTCTCGTGAAAATCTTTAGTACACCTCCATCTCGTCTTCGGTTCGAGAATAAAGAATCTTTATTTGGCGACGGGGATATTCGGGGGAAGATTATCTATTTTGTAATTATTTTTAATTATTTTTAGAATTAAAAAAGTGTAATAAATATATATTAATTACTTTTGGAATTATTATTTACTATTATAATAATTAGTTTAAAAAATATTTAATATTTTATTCACAATTTAGTGAATATGTTAATAAAAAATATATTAATTATTAAAAAATGGAATCGGGGACGAGTTTGGGAAATGCATTTCCTATTCGTCGAGCAGAGACTCGACCCTACGTTAACTTTTGTGATCCTTAATGTAGAAACACGAAAATTACAAGTTTAAACGGATAAAAATAAACTTTTTAAGTAGAAATATTGGAGAGATAAAAAAACATATTTAGAAAAAGAAAATTAGTGAAAGAAAATTTATAGACAAAAAGAGACAGATTTTAGCGAAAAAAAGTAAAGTTGATGAAAAGATACATTAAAGAAAAAAAATTAGAAAGAAAAAGAAAAATTATAGTGAGAAAAAATTAAGGATAAAAACAAGACTCGAAATACACTTTTTAGATAAAATAAATAAATAAAAAGATAAATAAAATTTATAATGAAAGATAATGGAATGAGAAGATAACATATAATTTTCATAGCAAACCAGATTAAGAAGAGAAATAAAAGTTTTAAAAAACAAAATTGGAAATTGTAGAGAGAGAAATAAATTTTGGAGAGAGAAATTTAAGAAGAAAAATTTTAGTGAGAGAGAAATTTGTGAGAGATAAATATGAGAAAAAAAAAGTTGAGTAGTAGAAAAAAAAATTAGATTTTGCAAAATAGAAATTAGTTTTTGAAAATTATGTATATATATTTTGAAATTTATATAAATTTCAAAGTAGTTTTTGGGAACCAAAAACAGAAAATTAAATGGGTTATTAAACAATCAAATGTATCTTCCTTAAAAAGATTTTGAAAAGTCCTAAAAGATTTTGAAAAGTACTGTTTTTGGAAGATTGATAATTAGTCTCAAAGCAGCAGATATATAGAGTCTAACCAGCTTAATTGAAGCCTAAGTGAAAGCTTAGAACAAAGTTAAAGTGTTTTTTTTTTCTTTAAATCCATTAAAAATAATCAGGAATGGAAAATCTTCTGTCCACAAAAATCTTAGTATTTCTTCGTGAGAGGACTTTTTCGTCACGGTGTTTCTTTTAGTAGTTCTACACAAGGGAAAGTATATTCTGATACAACATTATTCCTAAGAACCTTTAGAAAACCCCCTCCCTTATCTGTGTATCCAAACGGTTACAAAAACTGCAAGGCTATGTTCAAATAAGAATTATAAATTTTCCTCAAAAAAAAATTATAATTATTATGTGGGATACATGTCAAAAATTGCAAACTAAAAATTATGTGTGTTTATATATAAGAAGAGTAAATAAGGAATAAGTAAATTAAAAAAATATATATGAAAAAGAAAATAAAATGAACCATTCGCACAGCTGAATGAAAAAGCAATGCTTGCGACGAATTTCGTCAATCAAAAGATGGAAAGGTTTGAAAATGGAAGCAAGGATAGCATTCCAAAAAAGTTTACTCAATTGGAATTTCATATTTTGTACCTTCATGTTGGACAAGAAATTAAAAGCTCTAAATAGCATTAAATTTCTACACTTAGTTACAAGTAAAAGAACCTTATTATAGCACAACAACATTTGCCTAAAATGGTGCAGTAGTGATTATCATTTTAAACTCAGGCACCAAAATAAAATACACATTAGGCTGATAACTTGAAAGACTCAAAAGAAAGGGTTTAATATAGACATCAAAAACCATCATTTACTCACCATTGGTACTTTGCAGCCACTAGCACTTCCTCATACTTTTCAGCAGCATGGTCCCAACTCAAGTCTTGCCCCATCCCTCTCCTCTGCAGTCCTTCCCAACTCTTCTTGTATTGTTGGTACGTCAGTAAGCAGTTCCCTAATGCGTGTATTAGCTTGTTAGCCTCGGCGCTGTCGAACGTCCACCCAAGTCCTGATTCGTTGAACGGATCGAATGGTGTCACAGTATCTCTTAGTCCCCCAACTTTATGCACAACTGGTATTGTGCCGTAGTTCATGGCATAGAGTTGGTTCAATCCACAGGGTTCAAATCTTGATGGCATGAGTAAGATGTCTATGCCAGCAGTTATTCTGTGCGCCATCTTGACGGAGAAGCCGACCCATCCCCGAACCTTGTCACGATGTTGGTTCTCGAAGTCACGGAGCATTTGTTCTAAATCCTGCCTGCCAGTGCCCAGCATGACCAGTTGGACATCCTGACCCATCATCCATGGAATGGCCTCAGCTATTATATCAACTCCTTTCTGTTGATCTAGTCTCCCAATGAAACCAATCAAAGGTACGTCCTCACGAATGGGCAACCCGAGCTCCTTCTGCAGAGCTGCTTTGCATTGGGGCTTGCCCGTTTCAAGTGTTTCTAAGGAGTAGTTTGTGTAACCATCTGATGTGAGGTGAACATCATACTGTGGACTCCACTCTTCTGAATCAATCCCATTTACAATGCCCCTCATCTTCCAGTCAATCTCATTGATGATTCCATGTAAACCCCAGCCTCCTTCAGATGTTTTAAGCTCCCAAGCATATCCATGGCTAACCGTGACCACTCGATCTGCTGTCTTTAAACCGGCCGCAAAGATATTGAAGTGTTCGCCACCAACCGGGTCATACAACTTGAAAAGATCCACATAGTGTTCCGGAAGATCCACATGATAAAAATCATCAACCGGTCCCCGACCCTGCACGACCCAATAAAATTTATTCTTGGAAAAGAAGAGAACTTCTGAACTGAAACATAGCATAGAGAACTCCATTCCACACTAGTTAATTTGGCTAGACGCCTAAAATTTGTATAATTTTGTCGATGCAAGATGGATTTTCACTCACAACTCACTGTTATTCTTTTTGAAGAGCTATAACCCATATTATTACTCTCTTTTTCTTTCCCCCTTTGCATCGTTATTCTTTTTGAAGAGTTATAACCCATATTATTACTCTCTTTTTCTTTCCCCCTTTGCATAAGAATCACTCCCATGAAACTGATAAAGTACAAAAGGAGGACAATACATTCCTCAGATGGTCAATGGAATTACAAAGGAAGCACTCTAATTGGCTTAAAAAATAACAAAAAAGTAAACAGATCTCAAAAATAAAAAGGATAAAAAAGGAGGTTTCTACTTTCGGGAGCCTTAAAAAAAAAAAGAGAGAACAGTGACTAGCTATTTCAGAGTATTAACCCTTGGGGGTTAGTTTAGCTTGTAATAAGGATTGCTTGTTTATGATGGAGGAGGTTTTGTTTCACCGTCGACGAAGGTAGGATTCTCTAGACTGCCGGTTCTTTTGAAGTTTTATAGGATATTTGGCTGGAGAGAAGAAATAAAATCTTAGGGGTGTGGAGGAGTCTTCGAAAGAAGTTTACCACTTGCTAGGTTTAACATCTTGCTTTGGGTGTCAATCTCAAAAGACTTTTGTAATCACTCATTATGCATGATTAGTTTGGATTGGAGTCATTTTTTGTTAAGCTAGGTCTGACTTCTTCTTTTTTTTAAGAAAAATAAAAATCCGATGTAAAATCCTTCCTCTTCACTTGAGGAAGAATCAAAGTTACCAATAAAAAATTAGAGGAATGAATTGAAGGATTGTTCTATGCCCACAACAGAACAACAATACCATTTCTTAGGTCAGGCTCCTTTTCAAGGCTGTTGTTTTTGTAGGCTCGTTTTGTTGACCTGACTTGTACCATATTAACTGCAACGCTTGGGAAGGATGTATCAACCATAACTCCAGATGACTTTTGTATATAATGGCAAGTCTTTGTTTACTAGTTACAGTATATCTTGAACCTTTTTTTTTTCCCTTTTTAGAAGAATGTATCTTGATTAAATTACAATTTTCATCAATTTTATTGTAGAATCTTTTTTTTCCTTTTATAAGAAACTGAGCGAAATGTATTAATCACAAAAGGGGGAACAGCCTAAGGGCAAGGGGTAGAGAGAACCTCTTCCCAAAAAGAACTACTACATGAGCACCTTCCAATTGTGAAGGATAGAAAGAAGGAAGTAGTTACGAAAGAATTTTCTGAAACTATGACACCACCTAGAAGCAGTGAGCTGTATATTACTCCACAAAATATGAGAATCTAGAGAAAAATCTTCAAAAAGTTTGTTGTTTCGTTCCAGCCAAAGGTTCCACATAACTGCTGCCACCACGAAAGTCCACAAGGTTCCTTTGGCATTTTTGAATCCACCACCCACTAGGGCTTGAAGAAGCCACTCATCAACTCGCTGCGGGAGGTAAAGGCTCCTGTCGAAGTGGCAAAAAACTAGGGACCAGCATTTTTGGGCAAGTGAACAATGGAGAAATAAGTGATCGATGGACTCCTCTGCCTTAAGGCACAAGGGACACGCAGAGGGTAGCAAGCTCCATTTACTGCGCTTCCTTTGAAGGCGGTCCTGAGTGTTTAATCCACGGTGGGCCACCGACCAAAGAAAGACTTTAATCTTCTTAGGGACCTTTGTCTTCCAAATCTTCTTGATGAGGGGGGGTTGGAGAATCTTACATCGCTTATAAAGATGGAAAAAAGTGGACTTGGTAGTGAAAGCACCTAAAGCATCGATCTTCCATCTCACCCCGTCTATGGTCTTCCCCAATCTGACAGTATCTAGCTGATTGACTAAGCCTAGCCAGCTGTTGATTTTTCTGTTGAAAAGCCCCCTTCGAAAGCCTTGATCCCAATCTTGTTGCTCTGTGTTCCAACATCTATGGATGGTATCCTCCTTTCTCACAGAGAGTAAGTAAAGAGAGTAAGTAAAGGTCAGGAAAGGCCATCTCGAACGATTGATGTCCAACCCAATGATCCTTCCAGAACCTGATTTTCCTCCCATTATTTTCCTTGAAGGACAGAAACTCAAGGAAAAGGTTTGTGTTGTTTGCAATCGCAAACCATGGCCACCCTTTTGCTGCACCTTTTGGAGTGGCAGTAAGCCATCCATGAGGAAGGGTACCGTAAATACTTTCCACCACGCGTCTCCATAGAGCATCTTCTTCTTGAGTAAACCTCCACAACCATTTAAGTAAAAGAGTGTGGTTTCTCTGCTGAAACAAGCCTATTCCAATATTCCAAGACCACCGTGAGAAAGAGGAAGAGAGGTCCATTCCCATTTCACCAGATGGCTGCAAGAGTGGTAGGTACCTCCGTCCCAAAAGAAGTCCCTAACATACTTCTCCATGGTCTTAATCACCGTTTTGGGAGCCTTCAACAACCAGAGATAATAAAGGGGTAAGCTGCTAAGGACCGATTGGGCCAAGCTTAGGCATCCACCTTTAGAAAGGGTGAGGTTTTTCCATTTAGAGAGTTTGCATCTAAACTTCTCCAACATTGGATCCCAAAAGCCGATGGAGTTCGCATTACCTCCTAGAGGGAAGCCCAAATAGTTGAAAGGAAAGCTTTCAATTTTACACTCAATGGTGCTTGCAGCTAAGAAGAGAACATCCTCCTCAATAACCCTATCAGAGAAGTTTTCTCCACATTTATGGACATGCCGGCAGCATACACAAAGAGGGATATAATCCCCCACCAATCCAGAAGATCTTCAATCCTCTCCTTGCTGAAAATAATAGTATCATCCGCATGTTGGAGGTGTGTGAGGGGGACTTGTTTAAACCCCACCAGAAAACCCTTCAGTATCCTTCTCTCATGACAAAAGTGCACAAGACAACTAAAATCATCTCCAATCAAGGTGAAGAGGAAAGGAGACAAAGGACAGCCTTGTCTAAGCCCTCTCTGGGCTTTGCCTCTAGGCCTCCCATTGAAATTCCCAGAACCAATACACCCTTCGATCCACTTGCACCATCTCGTACCCAAGCCTTTTCTCTTAAGAACAGCCAACAGAAAATTCCAGTCCACCATATTGTACGCCTTTTCATAATCAAGCTTGAGGATGAAGCCACTTTTCTTGGAAGCTCCCCACTCACCAACCACTTCAGAGGCAACCAGAATCGCATCTAGGATATTCCTACCCTCAACAAACGCTGCCTGGGTGTCGCTAATAATAGAGGGGAGGTACTTTCTTAGTCTTTCGGCCAGAACCTTTGCTATAATTTTGTAGAGAGAAGTGACCAAGCTAATGGGGCGGAAGTCCCTAACTTTGTTAGCTCTTTTCTTCTTGGGGATAAGACATATATAAGTTTTGTTTGTTCTCCGATTGATGATCCCATTTTGAAAAAAGTCTTGGAACACTCTAAGTAAGTCGGACTTCAAAATGTTCCAAGACTTTTTACAAAACTCATTTGTCATCCCATCAGGACCTGGGGATTTGAAGGTGCCAAGTTTCCTGATAGCATCATGCACTTCCTCTTCACTAAAGGGAGCCTCCAATTCAAGACTGTCCTGAGGACTAAGAGGGTTCCAAAACCAAGGGCCGACTTTAGCCTTATACAAGGAATCAAAAAAACTGAAAATTTCCTGCTCGATCTCTGTCTCTGAAGTGAGAGGGTTGCCTGTGCTATCTTCCAAGATCGAAATTATGTTTCTACATTTCCTTTGTGAGGCCAACCTATGAAAAAAATTGGTATTTTCATCTCCTTCTATTAGTCATTGCAGTTTACATTTTTGCGCCCATCTTCGCTGGTCTTTAATGATAACTTCCTACAGGAAGGCTTTGAGATTAGTTCTCTCAGAAAAGGATACAGGGGATAGGAACCCTCTTTCTTCTTCTTGGTCAAGGAGATTTATTATGGCTTGCACATCTGTTTTCTCATGGTCAATAGCTCCAAAGGTATCCCTATTCCAGGTCTTTAAGATTGTCTTGAGACCCCGAAGCTTCTCCTTGAAAGCATATCCTGCCCACCCCGAAGGGTTCAAATTCTTCCACCACAACGTTAACGAGGCTTTGAACTGCGAATGAGAGAGCCACATATTCTCAAAACGAAACGGAGTGGGGCCCCACTTCTGGAAACCTGAGCTAAGTTGAAGAGGGAAGTGGTCTGAAGTCGTACGGGTCAATCTTTGAAGCACCACATCCTTGAAAGCATTGAAAGCATCTAACCAGCCTTGGGAAACCAAGAATCTGTCAATACGGGAGGTAGAGAGGTGTTCCCTAAAAGCTGACCACGTGAATGTAGCATTGTTGATATGGATATCAAACATCCCCAGCTCTGCAATTAATGAATTGAAATCTTTCATACTCTTATCCACCCTCTGCCCCCTGGATTTTTCATTCGGATTCCGCACTACATTGAAGTCACCTCCTAAGCATCAGCATCCTGAGCAAAGGCCTGAGAGATCCATAATTTCCTGCCAAAAGAGATTCCTACCCCGAGGGGTAGACGGCCCATATACTCCCGTAATCCAACCTTGCACAAGATTATTAAAGGAGAAGAGAATAGAAACAGAAAAAGAGCCTAGAACAGAGTCAAGTACCTCGACCACGTCTTCTTTCCACATAATGAGAATTCCCCCCACGGAACCTTCGACATCTAGGGCAATCCAACCCGTTCTTCTAGAGCTCCAAACTTCCTTAATAACTTTCCTATCGATCGACGAAAGTTTGGTTTCTTGCAAAATCACTAAATCAGGACCCACTCTGATGAAAGAGTCTTCAACAAGAGTTTTTTTGGAAGATGCTCCTAAACCTCTCACATTCCACGAGACAATCTTCATGTGTCCACATTAGTGCCCAAAGCGGTTACTAAGTCTTCTACATCTTCATCTTGGTCCTCTGTTTCTAAAGCCTCATCT